AAAAATACAGAAGTTGAAATAAGGAACCCAATAGATGAGAAAAATGGCACAATGGATACAAGAGAACAGAGACGTACAATGGAAGTTCCTAGTTCTCTGCTCCCAGAGAGACACAGGAAAGAATTAAGAGGTTTAAAGTACAGAGATAGAGAAAATAAAAGTAGAGGCTCCACCAGGAAGATAACAGGGAACAGGAAACAAGAGGGAGAATGCAAACAAATATAAAATAAAGGGAATATTTTAAGAAAATGAATACCTCCCTAGAATTAAAAAGAGATAAAAAAAAGAGATTAAAAAAGTGATTAAAAGAGTTTAAGAGGATTAAACAGGAAACATTAAGACCCACACCAAGGTGTATTATAGAAAAATCTTAAGAGTTTCAAGATTGAGAGCAAATTCTAAAAGAATTGAGAGAGAGAAAGGCAAAGAATGAGATTAAAATCAAGTTTTCAATATTAACATCAAGAAAAAAATCAAAACAGACAATGGAGTAATATTTTTAAAACATTAAAGGAGGGCCGGCACTGTGGCACAGCGGGTTAACGCCCTGGCCTGAAGTGCCGGCATCCCATATGGGCGCCAGTTCAAGACCTGACTGCTCTACTTCCAATCCGGGTCGCAGCTATGGCCTGGGAAAGCAGTAGAAGATGGCCCAAGTCCTTGTGCCCCAGTACCCACGTGGGAGACCTGGAAGAAGCTCCTGGCTCCTGGCTTCAGATCGGCGCAGCTCCGGCCACTGCAGCCAATTGGGGAGTAAACCATCGGATGGAAGACTTTTATCTCTCTCTCTCTCTCTCTCTCTCTCTCTCTGCCTCTCCTCTCTCTGTGTAACTCTGACTCTCAAGTAAAATATAAATAAATCTTTAAAAAAATTAAAGGAAAAGAACTGTACACAGACTTCTCAAACATGAAGTATAACAAAAGATGTTGTCAGGCATTCAAAGCCACTGAAATTTTGCCATATAAAGTCTCACTCTGGGGGCCATCACTGTGGCATGGTGGGTAAAGCTACTGCCTGCCACGCCGGCATCCCATATGGACACTGTGGGGAGCAACTCGGACTAAACTGTTGCTGGAATTAAGACTTATTCTGTGCATCTGCTCTCCCACAATATGGCGCTGGGAGAGAAGAAAACAGCTTCTACGCAGCTGCCTCCAGTTCAACCAATAAACTGTAGGACCTGCTCCTGATTGGAGGAGAGCAGCGTACTCGGCGTGTGGGTAGCAGAGTTGGGATTGGTGGAAGAGGACTATAAAGGAGGAGAGAGACGGCATGCACCAGGAACATCTAAGAAGGAACATCTAAGGGGAACATCTAAGGGAACACCTGTGCAGCCCCCGAGAGAGCCGGCCGGCGGTGTGCCGCTCCCCTGCGGAAGTGGGGAATGTGGCAGGGGGAACCGCCCTTCCACGGAGGTGGAAGGGACAGTAGCCAACCCGGGAAGAACCAGCAGCAAACCCGGGGAGGGCTGAGCAGACGAAAGAACAGCGCAGGGTCCTGTGTCGTTCCTCCACGAAGAGGGGGAGTGACAGACACCGGTTCACATCCCTGTCACTCCACTTCCGACCCAGCTAATGTGCATGGGAAAGCAGCAGAGACTGGTCCAAGTTCTTGAACCCCTATACCCACATAGGAGACCCAGAGAAGGTCCTGGGTCCTGGCTTCAGTCTGACCCAGCCCTGGCCATTGTGGCCACTTGGGGAGTAAACCAGCAGTTGAAAGATTTCTTCCTTCCTTCCTTCCTTCCTTCCTTCCTTGACCAGCAGTTGAAAGATTTCTTTCTTTCTTTCTTCCTTCCTTCCTTCCTTCCTTCCTTCCTTCCTTCCTTCCTTAACCAGCAGTTGAAAGATTTCTTCCTTCCTTCCTTCCTTCCTTCCTTCCTTCCTTCCTTCCTTCCTAAACCAGCAGTTGAAAGATTTCTTTCTTCCTTCCTTCCTTCCTAAACCAGCAGTTGAAAGATTTCTTTCTTTCTTTCTTTCTTTCTTTCTTTCTTTCTTTCTTTCTTTCTTTCTTTCTTTCTTTCTTTCTTTCTTTCCTTTCTTCCTTCCTTCCTTCCTTCCTTCCTTTCTTCCTTTCTTTCTTTTTCTTTCTTTCTTTCTCTTTCTTTCTTTCTTTCTCTTTCTTTCTCTCTCTCTCTCTCTGTGTGTGTGTGTGTGTGTGTGTGTGTCTCCCTCTGTCTCTGTAACTCTACCTTTCAAATAAATAAATATTTTTTTAAAAAGTCTCACTCTGAAAATATTCATCAAGGAATTATTAAAATGAAAATAAATCCTCCAGGATAAGATATATGATAAACAAAGCTGGTCAAATAATTTCCCAAAGTTCACTGTATAAAAGAAAGAAAAAGGAAAAAAAGAGAGAAAGAACTGCCAAAACTAAATTAAATTAATCCCATTTGGGCTCCAGTTCAAGGCCCAGCTGCTCCATTTCCGATCCAGCTCCCCAATTGCCTGGAAAAGCAGTGGAAGATGGCCCAAATGCATGGGCCCTGCAACCATGTGGGAGACCTGGAAGAAGCTCCTCACTTCAGCCTGGCCCAGCCCTGACCATTGTGGCCATCTGAGGAGTGAACCAGTGGATGGAAGAATTATCTATCTCGCCCTCCCTCCCTCTCTCTTTCTCTCTGATTTTATCTTTCAAATTAATAAAATAAATATCTTTTTTTTAAAGTTTGACAACAGACACACAATTAGAATGAGGACTAGAGTTAAAGAAGAGACCCAAGATACATGTGAATTGCTACCACATTTGTATTATACAGGATAAACACAAAGCTTAATATATTTAATAGTTGAATAGGAAAACAAGAGCAACCATTGTAACAAAAATAGGACTTGTTTTAAATGACAAGGAAAAAACTTTATTCATTAGAAAGCAGAAAATGAGAAAAAAGTTTTAAAAAGTATAATAAAATGAAATATATCAAGATATTAGAAATAAGCCCTAGGGCATTATAGCATAGCAGGTTAAGCCACTACGTGACACTGGTATCCCATATGAATGCCAGCTGGAATCCCAGCCTCTCCTCTTCCAATTCAGCTCCCTGCTAAAGCACCTGGGAAAGCAGCAGCAGACAGTCCAGGTGCTGGGGCCTCTGCCACCTATGTGAGAGACCTGGATGGAGTTGCAGGCTCCTGCCTTCAGCCTGGCCCAATCCAGCTATTCTGACCATTTTGGGGGTGAACCAGCACATGGAAAAACTCTCTCCCTCTCTTTCTCTATCTATCTCCCTCTCTCTCTCTCTTTCTAGCTCTGCCTTTAAAATAAATCTTGTTTTAGAAACTGAGCCCTAAGAAAGTAATAAGCATAAATGGATCAAATTCACTAAAGGATTCTCTGATTGTACACAAGCAATACATTGACTATGAGAAACAAACACACAAAAAGATAGAGAAATAGGTTGGAGAAAGATACATCAATCAAATAGAATAAAAAATACTGGTAATACAGTAACTAGTAACATAGAATTCAAGTTCTCAAAAAATTCTAAGGAACAATGATGGAGGCTGTCTACTAGTAAAAGAACCAAAAGAATAAAATATGTGAATAATATGAAAATAAATAAAAGTAAATGATAAATAAGTAAAATATAAAGCTTAATGATAAATAAATAAAAGATAAAACTTTTGTATTATGTGGAATCTTCAAAAAGTTCATGGAAAATGCATATTATGAAAAAATACTCATGGATTTTGAATGTTTTGCACCAAAATAAATTTATAATTCCATTTTCCACAATCTTTTTGAAGTACCTAACAACATAACCTCAAATATTTGAATACTCTTAGATAAAGCAAGAGCTGACAGAATGACATGAGAGAGAAATCAACAAACACTTGAATATCTTAACGTACTCCTCTCAGAAACTGCAGAACATGCAGACAAAAAAAACATACAGAAGATCTAAATGACACACTAAATATATTCAAGCAATTGTATCTAGAAAGCTCCATTCCCAAAGAATACATAAGTATCTTCAACATTTCTAAGAAGTAACCACACACAAGGCTCAAGACTCAGTAAACTCCAAGGACTCAATATCACAGAGACCATATTCTCTAGACATGAAATTAAAAATGATAACAAAAATTAAAACTTAAAAAGTTTCCATTGGGTAGAGCTTGTTTACACAGAGAAGTGAGTGACACTGAAAACACATCATGTCAAGTTTGTGAGACACAATTCAAACACGATCCAGAGGGAAATGTGTACCTTAAAGGACATTCTTTTGTTCATTCTTTAAAGCTGAAATGGGCAAATATTTCCCTGAAAGTCATTCAAACAAAACGTGGAACACCATGAAAAATCTCTCACAATATATACATAAGAACTTTTTTAAAAGGCTTATAGAAAATGGAATCAGAAGATGTTTATTGGGGTGCAAAAATATTTTGAATTCCATACATACAAAAGACTTGAAAAGACTCATGGAAAGTGTGAATTACAAAAAATTGTCTGGATAGTATATAGTGATGTGTTAGAGTCAAAATTAAGATGCATTAAAAATATCATATAATACTAGTTTCAAGCTATGTATATAAGGTAAACTTGAAAGAAAAAATTTTGTGTTTAGACTTGGGTCCCATCCCCAAAACATCTCATTATATATACACAAATATTCAAAAATCTAAAATCCAAGAGCATTTCAGGTAAAAGGTCTTCAACCTGCATCTATCTGGTAACACACTGGATCCTCTGACTCCACAATTCACAAGAGATAAAATACAATGAGTCAATAAATAAAAATCTAAAGGAAATAAACATCTCAGACAATGGCACACACACATGTATTAACAGCTGTCTAATAGGTATACCTCAACTATTAGCCAAAGCATATTCCAGCTTGGGGGAAAATACCATGGCCTTGGATCCCATACCCTTTTGATCTATCATTAACTTGAGTAGAAAACTCACAAGACCCCGAACTCAAGTATCTGAGATGAAATACTCTTCTCTGATGTTGAAATCATGAAAATAAAACATATTTGCACACAAGTACCTGATAAGGTAAGTCAGCCATCCTCAAATAAGTTTCCATTTTCAAACAGAAAGGAGATAAACTGGGGACACCATTGTTAGGTCTTGCAAACTGATGCAAAATAATAGCATCTTTGGAGTCAATCTCTTGCTGTTTCCTGTTAAAACCAAAACAGAAACAAAGAGCAATCCACATGTTATCCATCCAGTTCCCTTAGTTCTTGAGCTGACCTGCTGCATTGTAGCATCTCAATGAACAAGCAGATGTGTTTGTCACAGGGGTTCACCCAGCAGTGAGAGAACAGAAGCTCAGTCAAAACACGAGAGAACCTTACAAATACTCTAACATTACCACAACCCCAACAGCCCAGAAAAGTAACTACACAGCCACTGCCTCTGCTCCCTGCAGCCTCTTCTCTGGTGGGCTGAGCTTGCTTGCTGGAAGCCAGCTGACCAGAGAAAATGGTATTCATTGGGGCCGGCGCCTGTGCCATAGTGAGCAAGCCTCTGCCTACAGCACTGGCATCCCATCCCAGTGCCGGATCATGTCCCAGCTGCTCCTCATCTGATTCCGCTCTCGGCTTAAGGCCTGGGAAAGCAGTGGAGGATAGCCCAAGTACTTGGGCCCCTGCACCCACATGGGAGATCCGGAAGAAGATCCTGGCTCCTGGCTTCAGATTGGCGCAGCTCCAGCTGTTGCAGCCATTTGAGGAGTAAACCAGCAGATGGAAGACCTTTCTCTCTGTCTCTCCCTCTCTCTAACTCTACCTCTAAAATAAATAAATCTTTAAAAAAAAAAGAAGAAAGAAAATGGCATTCTGTGCTTTCTGCATGCCACAGTGCTGTGAGTTTCACAGGTATGGCATTGAATCTTCACAACAACTTTGTGTGGCAGGTACCACTGTCATGTCTGATAAAAGAGGACAGATTACTAACTTGTCCAGAGTCGCACTGCTGCTAAATGGCAGGACCTGAACTGAACCAGGTGGTGAAAGCCTAACTTCTTGGCTATCAGACTACACCATAAAACCTTTCAGGTCTCTCCATCCCTAAGACCCTGGAATAACAGTGCAGATATGCTCTGAGACCCAGAATCCTGGAGTCCCTTTTGCAAACTTCTGTGTGCTTACCTGGTCTTCCACCTGTGGTGTTGAGGAACCCACCTTCTGGGTTCTCTCCCCCCCCTTCCCCCTCTCCCTCTCTCTTCTCTGCTTCACAGCCTCCACATCAATCACACAGCATGTAGTTTGGTACTGCTGCTTTCCCTTTTCTTGAGTCTCAGCCACACATCTATCTTTAGCTTTGGCTACTTTTCTGGGGGAGGAAGACTTCCTTGGTCTGGTTTTTCGGGAGTCACCACATAGTACAGCAAGGGCTAGATTCCAAGTCTGTGCTTCTGGGCCAAATCCAAGCCCTGCTTCCTCCGGGCCATGTTGCCCTCCACCTCACTCACCCAGAGAATGAGAACATACTAACTCCGCAGCAATTATTGTGAGGATGCAATCAGGCAGTCTCTGTATATATTGTGTTTACCATTTACCAAGCACTGAATAAGAGTAGCAGAATTTATTCCCATCCAAAGAGATATGATCTTATCCCCTTAAGCTACAAGATCTCATTACGCCCTGCAGTCCCACTTACTTACCACCCCTCAGGAAGCTTTGGCAAAGTTCACCTTTCATTCTATCTAGCCACATACACTTCACTCTTCCCCCGACCCTGCCCTGCCTGAAACTTTGTTTCATATTTAACGCTCGCTATTTAACATATAGTGACAATTACTCTGTAGAGTGGGTATTGTTACAGTTTAAATTTAGGGGATCATACTAATATTTTACAGTAGTCAAGGAAACTGAAGTTCAAAGAGGTTCAATTCCTCCTCCAATGAACATGAATTTAAGATCAAGTTTGTAATAACTCTAGTTCCCAAGTTTTAAGTACTCCAAGAACACCAGAATGGGCATTGAACTAATTTTTTTAACACAGCCTATTTGATTTAGACCACTTGAGTCTGGAACTTTCTAATTAACATTTATAAGAACTAAATAGTGAGTAACTTTGAATGTCCTCCACATGACAAACTCCGTTCTAAACTGTCTACATGTATTAACTGACTTAGTCAACTCTAGGGAGACTATTCCGCTGGTCCTAACTTTACAGATGAGAAAACTGAGTAATCCAAGGTTACATGGTTGGTTAAAAGCAGAGCATGAATTTAAGACCAGAAAATTTGGCTCCCTCCCTCTACACATCAGAAACCTTTGTGACTTAGGATCATTTGATCAGGCAGGTTGTTTCTTGTGCAGCTGTATTTTACAAGGTGATCTTATATGAGGTTTGTATAAAAGGAAACCAGTAGAGCATCAGCTAGTTTAAAAGTGGACGAGCTCCTACTGCCATGGCTATGGATATCACAGATAGCCATGCCTCTGTACACAGCTGATAAGTGTTAGGCTTATAGGGATCAGATGTTGATCCCTGGGCTACTTTGATTCTCTAATCTTCTAGGACAGGGTGAGCATGAGTGCCACAAGGACAAATGAGGGGTGGGTGTTTAGCCCAGGACTGCTAGGTTCAATTCCCTGCACTAGCTCCTGACTCCAGCTTCCTGCCAGTGCAGACCCTGGGAGCAAGAGATTGCTCCTGTACTTGGGTCTTTGCCATCCATATGGCAGACCTAGACTGAGTACTGGGCTCCTGGCTACCACTCAGCCCAGCTCTACTCTAGCCCTTGGGGGCATTTGGAAGGTGAACCAATACGTGGAAGCTTTGTGTGTCTTTCTCTCTGCCTTTTCTTGAATGAATGAATGAATAAATGAATGAGTAATCTTTAACATTTAAAAAGTGTTGGAGCTGACGCTATGGCACAGCGGGTAAAGCCACCGTCGTCTGCAGTGCCAGCATCCCATATGAGTGCCGGTTTGAGTCCTGACTGCTCAGCTTCCGATCCAGCTCTCTGCTATGGCCCCGGGAAAGCCACAGAGAATGGCCCAAGTGCTTGGGCCCCTGCACCCACATGGGAGACTGGGAAGCTCCTGGCTTCAGATCGGCTCAGCTCCAGCTGTTGCGGCCATTTCAGGAGTGAGCCAGCAGATGGAAGACCTCTCTCCCTCCCTCTCTCTGCCTCTGACTCTTTGTAACTCTGCCTTTCAAATAAATAAATAAACCTTTTTTAAAAAAAAAAAAAAAAAAGAGCCAATGAGCTATGGGTTATGAAGTCATTACCTAATCAATAGATTTACAAACAACAAATTTCCAAATGCCTGACTGAACTTAACATAATTGCCAGGCTGTCTCTACTCAGAAAAAATAGAGGATTGAGAAAATTTGAGTATTTATTTAAAAGTACAGTGATAGGAAAAACATGGATAAAACCTCAAATACCTACTTTGGTGATACCTATTTATTAAACTTCCTAAATTATTCTCACCTATCAACTTCACTTTCTATTCTGGAGACACAGCCATAGAATATGGTTAAATCTAAAGAGCATAAAATGAAGCAAAGTGGTAAACGACTTGCAATTGCCAGTGAGCTCACTGTAGTCATTTCAAGGTGCGTTTTCTATCCCACACATTTCAGATTTTTTTTTTTCTTTGTTGGTTTATTGTCTAAACTACACAGACCACTGAAACACAGATTTCACATTCAGTGGTAGTCTCTATCATGCCACCTCTTAAGCCTTGGTCTTCAATTTCCTTACTACCTACCCCCTAGCAGGGATGGGAAACATCACACAATTACTCAGTCTGACCCTGCCACGGTGACCAATAAATCTTCAGCAGGCTTATGTTTATGGTGATTATTTCCTATGGCCCACGAATGATATTATAAATATCCAAATAGGTCCTTGGCGAAAAAAGTTCTCCAGCCCTGCAAGAGGCAGATGGAAAGTGAGGCCCCTACTATAGACCTGTCTTCTCCGAGCAATGCCCCCGTTCTTCCCAATTTTCTCCTTCCCCCATCAAAACTTCTCTCCGAATGGGTGCTTTCTAGGAAGCAATGGTAATAAAAAAAAAAAGTGCAGGCTCCACACGTGGGCACATATTCTCAAATCTGAATCTGCATCCCACTACCCTTCCTGTGTGATCTAGGGCAACTTGCCTAATCTCCTTCAGCCACTGGTTCCTTACCTATAAAGTGGGGATCAAACCTCAATACGATAGTTGTGAGGGACAAACACAATCACACATGCAAAGCTTTTCCACTCAGAGGTCCCCATAAGTGCTCAAAGCTGGGCCAGCCCTGTTTATATCATACAGGGTTTTCCCGTTCCTTTCAAGCATTTGCCAAGACACAAATGGGAATACACCAAGAATTTCAAACTCCTTAATCCAAACAAGCAACCAGAGCTCAGGCTAGTATTCTCCTAAAGGAAGAACGAGTTATCTGTGGGCAGAGGGCTCTCCTATCTCCAGAGTCCGCTTGTACCAGGGTGTGGCCTACTCCAAAGTGAGTTCTGGGCTGCAAGCTATTTCTGCAAGGTCATTTAAGCGATTTTTAGATTCAGTACTGTGAAGCCTTCACTCTCTCCACAACACAAAAAACTGCCAAAAGGCCACATGGTTTGGGGTCCTCAGACTTGGGACTGGCAAACAAAGGGGTTACCATAAAATACTGCACGGGTGTTTAGATTCTTTACGTAGCCTGAAACCTAGCTTGAAAGGGTGTTCAAAAACTACAACAAATATCAAGTAATCTAAAGAGAGAATTCACTTAGAAGCTTTTTTTTATTTGGTTCAACTAGATTCAAGGAACGGTCCTAAGTCAGAGAATTTACACGTGTGGCAAGCTTAAAATAAACTTCTCCATTATAACTACATAATATGAAAGCCAACACAGTCCCCAGATCTAAACCACTTCTCATCTTCTGTCTCAGGGACAGGAAATACTCAAAATACAGCAACCAAATTTGGCTACACAATGTCCTCTTGGGATCTCTGCAGGCCCCCTAAAGGTCACCTGGCTGCTTTTGTTTATAACCTATTGTGTTAGGATTTCCCCACTGGAAAAAGGCACTGTGCTCACTCACACTGGCCAAGAGGGACTTTCAGAGAACCGCCGGGCTTCGGTAATCTTCCAGTGACTGAGAGCTCACACACATGGAAATTCTAACCATAACCTGATGTATCAATAAGCCAAACAACCTTACTCAATCAGAGATCTCCTCTGGGGCTGATGTACCAACAGCAGGGGCCTCCATTTTCTGGAATCTCCAAGTCCATGCCGTAAACATTCTGCGGCAGCGGATGCAAGGATGCGAGTGTTTACAGCACTGAGCGACGTCTCGCTCGGTGTTACGGCAAACACGCCCATGTGCTGGCCCTGTCCTCGGGTCTCCTACTGTTCACACAACAATGACATTTAAGCCTCAAGATGGTGCTTAGGTCCAGTTCCAGATAAGCAGATAAGCAGGCGAAGACTGCATTAACACTGCACTTCACTACACTTAGCCAGGCATCTTTAAGAGGTTTCTGGAGCTTTGCAATTTCGGTCGCTTAATGATGCTGACATTTAGGGAGAGACACGGAGAACTAACCTTGCAAGCAAAAAATGAGGTTAGCAGTTAGTTTTCCAGCATTATCACCTATAAACAAACAAGGCACTCCACAGATGAATAACTTACTGTATTTACAAAGCCTAATTCTACTGTTGCAAACACGCTGCACTTAGGATCTTCCTAAGGCTGTCTCTTAACAGACTTTTGCTCCATAACGACTAGGAACCCAGAGCCTTTTTGCTTTTAGCACCCGTGTAGGAGACAAACGCTTTTCCCTCCCAACACCAGTTAAATTCTCCGGTAAACTCAGAACTGCCCCCACGGCCAGGTGGCCACGGAACGCCTTTGGGAACGGTAACGGCACGATGTTTGGGCATTCGGGCGGCGTGACCTGCTCGCACCAGCCCTGCCCGGGCCAGGTGGCCCTCTCGGCGCCCCAGAGCGGGGCCCTCTCTCCGGCTCACCTAATGACCAGGAGTTCGTGGAGCAGATACGCAGCTGCGGCCAGCAAAGCTCCCCCGGTCAAGTAAAGGGTTTTCTTCCACCAGGGATCGGAGCCCAGCCCTGCCATGATCCCACCGTAATCCTGCAAAGGGAAAGCGATGATGTCCCCATAAAAGGAGAAGGGCTCCTCGGACCCGGCCCACCAGCCGAAGACGGAGACGCTCTGGTTCCAGCTCAGATCCACCACGCACGGCCTGGACGAGGCAAAGCCAACCCCCCAGTGCATGCTGCGCGGCTGGCTCCGGGTGCCCCTCCCAGGGCCCGCGCCGCCGGCATGGGAAGGGGCCGGCGCGGCCCGGCGCGGGCTCAGCCGCTGGAGGAGGGCGCGGGTGGCGGCGACCGAGGAGGCGGCGGCTGAGGAGGAGGAGGAAGAGGAAGGGCGCGGGCCGCGGGCGGCGGGTCTGGCCGGCGGAGCCCCAGGACCCTGGGCGGCAGCGGCGGCCGCCGGCTCCCCCCGCAGCGGCCTCTCCGCACCGCTCTTTGTGTCGGCGCCTGGAGAAGGCCGCGTGATGTCATTGCTCCCCGGGGCAGGGAAACAGAGGCGGGATAAAGTCACCTACCCCGCGCCCTGCCCCCGCCCCGCATCTCCGCGGTCCCGCGGCCTCCGCCCCGGCCGGAGCTGCGGGGCCGGGGCGTGCCGGGCGGCCTCCGCGCCTCCAGGAGGCACTCCCTGGAACCGCTGGCCGCGGGGAGGCACGGGCTGCGGAGGCGGCTGCAAATGCGGCTCCTCTGCCCGCAAGCTGCAGTCGGGACCCGGATCTCGCCTCCACCCACTCTGGCCAGGCCCGCCCTCCGCCGTTGCTCCAGCCCCTACCGCGGGCGTGAGAGCAGGGAAGCGCGGGGCACACCTGGGCGGCGCGGAGCTGCGCGCAGGCAACGCCCCCCGGCGGGGGCAGCGAACCAGGGCCCGGATCAAGGTCGCAAGCCCGACCGTCCTGGCCGCCGGGTAAGCCTATGTATTTGCATCGCGTTTGAAAATACCCTCATTACGTTACAGTTAACCTCTAGGAAAGGAGATGTCTGGTTTGACAGATAAACAACAAAATATTCCCTAGCTAGAGAAATTTGCCCTCTGACACATCCAAATCAAATTTGATACCAAATCCTTGAGCTCAAAGATATGGGTTTTTGGGGGGATGTATTCTTCTTGATGCAAAAATCTGCGCAACAACTGTGCGTTCGATGTTTGTTTTTCTTTAACTTCATGTTTTAAAGTTCGTAAGTACAAAAAACTGAATTGGGGTTCCTAGAGGTTTATGACGTATACACAAAGTTAGGCAAAATTGCTTGGAGGAAAAGATGGTTGGAGATGCAGGGTCCCCTGACTCCTAAGTGAAAGGAGGCATACAGGAAGTGTCGGGGCTTTGCCTGGGGAGACGAGATTGGAGTGGAAGCGACACCGGCTCCTTATTTCACATCATTAATAGAACATGGGTGTTTACAAACGCTTACCAGGATGGTGTCACTGCACCAGTGCATGAGGGGGGCCCAAACACTGCTGGCAACAGAGGAGGGAGCTTCGAAAAGTACATGGAAAATGCAGGCTAAGTTTTAACTCCATTTTCTGCAAACATTTATTTTGATTTTTTGGAAATCACCGAGAGAGAGAGAGAGAGAGAGAGAGAGATCTTCCATCCGCCAGTTCATTCTCCAAATGGCCACACGAGTCTGGGAGCCCTGAACTCCATCTGGGTCTCCCCGTGGGTGTCAGGGGCCTAACCACTTGGGCCATCATCTGCTGCATTCCCAGGCACATTAGCAAGGAGCTGGGTTGGAAGCATAGCAGCTGGCTCTGGAACTGGTGCCCATATGGGATGCCGGAGTCACAGATGGCAGCTTTCCTTGGGGCACCACAAAAGCAAACCCTTCCATGAACTTTCTGAAGCCACTTCCCCTGTCCCATGTAAGTGACCTGTCAGGATGAAGTAGTGTGTGGCTGGAAGAGGACTTCCATGAGCAGGGTGCAAGGAGTGCAACTAAATGGCCTCCGGGAGTGACTAAGGCGTCACCACATAGCTTTCCAGCCAGAGGAGTCAGGAAGCTACAAGGCCTTGTGCAGAGCCAGTAAATTTAGGGGCTCTGGGTGAGGATTCCCTTTAAAAATAAATAATAGAAATTTCTTAAACTATATTTTAAAACATGAAGTACAACATCATTGTGAAAATTATTTTCCTAGGGTAAATTAAATTTCTAAACTATTTGATGCATTTTGTTTATACTCTTTGGATTATGACCTGAAAAATGTGACATGATATCATTAATTGCCAGGCAGAGAAACAGAGGTAAGATAAATCACCAATCACCTGTCTTCTCTTTCTTCTCCACCCCTCTTACATCTCTCCTGCCTAGTGTCTTTCCCACTCAATTCTTGCCATTTGGATCAATCTCTCAGAAGGGATATGCATTACATTCTGTTCTAATTGCTCTACTAGAGTCTTGATTCATTTTCTATTTCTGAATCCAATACATTCTCATTCCTTTTATCTGTGTGTCTGATGTCCAAACAAAAACTGGTGACTTGATTGGGTTGATTAGGAGCCAACAAACTTGAGGTTCCTCTGGTGAGTAGAGTTCTGATCTTCTTCACAAACCAGTAGTGTAGACAATTGTTACCTCAAAGTGTAGTCTGGTATCATCTGGAAGCTTGTTAGAATGCAAAACTTTATTGGCCCACTCCAGAACTAGTAAGACAAAATTGCATTTTAACAAGATCCCCAATGATTCATTTGCATGGTGGTGCTTGAGAAGCACTGATTCAATTGAACTTTGATTATCTTGACACAGCTCCAGCTGATACATATGCATTTTAAAGTTTGGAAAACGCTGATTTAGTTTCGCCTTGCCCAGAGGCTGCAGACTCATGTGCCACGGGGCATAGCATTATCTGCATAAGGAGCTCTGTGAAACTAATTTTCTCAAAAGGTATAACTGGCAGGCACTTCAGACTTTGTGGCCATTCAATTTAGACAGAGTTCAGAATTGACGGACAGTGTAGAGAATGAGTACCATGGACAGCGCTCCAACATTCACTTGGTGTGGGAGATGATGGATGCCTAGGTGGTGGAAACCACACAGGGCCACTGGTGTGAGATCTGCTTGGGTTGAATTCTGTCTTTATTATTACACAGCTCTGGAAGCTAAACCTGCCATTTGACCTCTCTGGGCCTCAGTTTCCTCATTTGTGAAATGGGATGACAATACTCACCTAACACAGCTTGTTTTGAAAAGTTATTGAAAAAAATGTATATACCACTAGACAGGCAGGTATTCAGTCACTATTAGTTTCTTCCATTTTCTAACTAAAGTTAGTTTGTTTTAAAAAGCCATTGAAAAATAAAAATAAATTGCCACCAGCTTGAAGCTATGTAGATGGTTATGATACCAAAGCTGTCAAAACTGGTGGTGATGGTAGGGGTGGAGTAAAGATTCCCGTTCTGGCTCTCAGAGTGTTCATACCATCTAACTAGCTGATTCAGCTTGGAAAGGGAACCCGGTGTGCCGGCGCCGCAGGCGCAGGATTAGCCTATTGAGCTGCGGCGCTGGCCGAGACAGAGATTTTCTATCTGCTGGTTCACTTCCCTGATGGCTGCAATGGCTGAGGCTAGGCCAGGCTGAAGCCATGAACTTCTTTCAGGTCTCTTACATGAGTTTCAGGGGCCCAAGCACTTGGGTCATCTGCTGCTGCTTTTCCCAAACCATTTGCAGGGAGCTGGAACAAAAGCGGAGCAGCCAGGACACGATAGGATGCTCTCACTGCAGGCAGAGGCCTTACCCGCTACACAACAATTCCAGCCCCAAGAAATTTTTATAAGACTTATTGATTGATTCGAAAGGCAGAAAGAGAGAAAGATCTTCCATCTGCTGATTCACTTCCCAAATGGCTGCAACAGGCAGGTCTGAGCCAGGCCAAAGCCAGGAGCTAGGAATTCCCTCCTGACTTCCACAAAGGTGGCAGGGATCCAAGTACTTGGGTAATCTTCTACTGCTTTCCCAGGCGCATTATCAGGGAGCACATTAACAGAAGTGAAGCAGCCAGGACTCCAACTGGCTCTCTGATATGGGATGCCTGCATTGCAAGCTTAACCCACTGCACTACAATGCCAGCTGTTTAAGAGGTTTTTAAATTTTGAGCAATTTATTTATTAAACTGAGAAAATTATGACTCCTGAAACCTAATCAACATTGTAACTGGAAGCCAGTCTGTCACCATAAGAGATTTTGCTTATTTGCTTTCTGATCCACTAGATTTGAACATTTTATAAGTCATTATGCAACTCTCAGAAAGCATGTCCTGTAAGATTAACTTAACACTGAGAAAAAAAAATGCATATAATAACCAGGCGGTTGAGAAGTGAGTCATAAGAAGAGTTTAGGACATTTTGAGTTTGGGCAGTGCACCAGGTTAACTAGTGCAAAGGACAGAACTCTGAGAACAGCACATTTAGAGGACGGGCAAAAGGAAGACTGGAAACTGCAGAGTGAAAGGGCCCCAGGGAATTCAGAAAGGTGTCAGGGCTGCAGAAGTCAGGGGAAGAGGGAGTTTCAAGAGTGTGGGTGAGGCCAGCACCGCAGCTCAATAGGATAATCCTCTGCCTTGCGGCGCCGGCACACCGGGTTCTAGTCCTGGTCGGGGTGCCGGATTCTGTCCCGGTTGCCCTCTTCCAGGCCAGCTCTCTGCTGTGGCCAGGGAGTGCAGTGGAGGATGGTCCAAGTGCTTGGGCCCTGCACCCAATGGGAGACCAGGATAAGCGCCTGGCTCCTGCCTTCGGATCAGCGTGGTGCGCCGGCCATTTGGGGGGTGAACCAACAGCAAAAGGAAGACCTTTCTCTCTGTCTCTCTCTCACTGTCCACTCAGCCTGTCAAAAAAAAAAAAAAAAAAAAAGAGTGCGGGTGAGATTCACAGTACCGTCTGCTCCCCAAAAAGTCAAGTAAAATCAAGTTAGGCAGCGGGCAGACATTCCTGATCTTAATAGGTGAGCACATTCAGGTGCTGAGGAGGTAGAAGCTGGACTTGAAAAACAGTACTCTCAATAGTTTAGACAGGTGTCTGTCTCTTTTATTTACTCTTACCACACATAATATTAACTATTTTGGTCTTTTCTAATTTGACAGTGGGAAGTGTCTTCTTGTGTTTAAATTTGCATTTCTTTTACTATGTGTGAGATTGTATTGACTTTTCTGAAAATTATTCCATAAATAATAATAGCCCATCTACTGGGCTATTATTAGTTTTTAGGGTTTTGAATTTGAGTTATGTGAGCTCTTAATTGAGAACAACACCTTGTTATCTGTTATCAGTGAATTGATTTGTAAATATTTTCCCCAGCTTGTTCAAGTTTTTTTTTTTTTTTTACCCCCTATGGCTTTTTGACTTCCTACCACAGTTTTAAGAGAAGTTTTTCTCTGAATGAGATGTTCAAATATGATTTCAATATTCATAGATGACTTCAAGTGCTAGGGTGTGTTAAAGAAAAATTTCATTCTGGGGGCCGGTACTGTGGCACAGCAGGTAAAGCCACCGCCTACAGTGCCGGCATCCAATATGGACACTGGTTCGAGTCCCGGCTGCACCTCTACAGATCCAGCTCTCTGTTATGACCTGGGAGAGCAGTAGAAGATGGCCCAAGTGCTTGGGCCCCTATATCCACATGGGAGACCCAGAAGAAGCTCCTGACTCCTGGCTTCAGATTGGTACAGCTCTGGCCATCCCGGCCAAATTGGGGAGTGAACCAGCGGACGGAAGACCTCTCTCTCTGCCTCTCCTTCCCTCTCTGTGTAACTCTGACTTTCAAATAAATTAATAAATCTTTTTTAAAAAAATACAGTGAAAAGACAGAGCAATAATATTTTTCATTTACTGACATACTTTTGTCAGGGCTAAATTTCCCTACTGTAGTATAGAAGTTTTTAACTTTTCTGGGGTCAGGGACCCATCTGCGTCTCTTACGAAAGCTATGCAACCTTCTCAGCAGAAAAAAAAAAACACACACACATACTATCTCTCTCACTATACTAGAGGTTACTTTTCAGAAGCTTGTGAACCTCCTCCTGTATGTTTTAGACAGGAAAGGAGTACAGCTCTTAAGAAGTGTCAGCGAGATCTGTATCCGTTAGGTCCTGTCTGAATAAGAAACAAGGATTGAAATTTAGTGGAAGAGGAAACATCTTCTATCCTTTTTTTTTTTTTTTTTTTTGACAGGCAGAGTGGACAGTGAGAGAGAGAGACAGAGAGAAAGGTCTTCCTTTGCCGTTGGTTCACCCTCCAATGGCCGGCGCACCGCGCTGATCCGATGGCAGGAGCCAGGTGCTTCTCCTGGTCTCCCATGGGGTGCAGGGCCCAAACACTTGGGCCATCCTCCACTGCACTCCCTGGCCACAGCAGAGAGCTGGCCTGGAAGAGGGGCAACCGGGACAGAATCTGGCGCCCCAACCGGGACTAGAACCCGGTGTGCTGGCGCCGCTAGGCGGAGGATTAGCCTAGTAAGCCGCGGCACCGGCTTCTATCCATATTTATCTTGTAACTCTCCACCCCCATTCTCAGCTCTGCCTCCATATATTTTTCTTCTGGTCAAATGGTGTCTATTATCTCCCAGACAGTGGCTCTTTATATGTGTTGCAACCTTTTCTTCCTGGGATACAAGAGGCTTATTGATCCCACCAACAATTCTTTTGTGTGATTGCCTGCAAACAGTCAGTGTCAGGATGCTTTCTTGAAACAGAAAGGGCTTGCATGTTATTTGCATCTCATCAGTCAAGAATCTTCTTTCTATTAATAGAGTGGCATTGTAAGTTAATAAAAACAATTATGTGTTGGCTGTAGTAGCATGTTCATTTGGTCTTGTTTCCATCTTTATTTCTACATTGGCATTTCTTTTGGATTTTTTTTTAGACCTAATGGTGCAAATATATTTTATGAAATTGTGAGGACATCATTAGTCTAGGTTTAAAAAAATATTTCTAGGAACCTGAGCTTGTACCTGGTTACTGAGAAGTCTATAAAACTCTAGTTGATGCCTCTCAATGTTGTGTGTATTTCAAGTCAACAAGAGCACAGAAGCCCTCTTGCCCCTAACATGTATCAGAGACAGTTCAAATGAGGTCCAAAAATTTGACAATTTTTTTTGGATGACTAATGGTATTTTTGGGGGGTGGTGCTATGACTTAAATAGCTAAAGCTGCTGCCTGCAGTGCAGGCATCCCATATGGGCACTGGTTTGAGGCCCGGCTGCCCCACTTCTGATCCAGCTCCCTGCTAATGGCCTGGGAAAGGCAGCAGAAGATGGCCTACATCCTTGGGCCCTTGCACCCAAATGGGAGACCTGGAGGAAGCTCTAGGATCCTGGCTTTGGATCTGCCCAGCTCCAGCCTTTGCAGCTGTTTGGGAAGTGAACCTGCAGATGGAAGACCACTCTCTCTGCCTCTGCCTCTCTGTAACTCTTTCAAATAAATCTTAAAAAAAATTAAAGGTATTTTTGATGTGTAATTTTTTAAAAATTTTTATTTATTTAAGAGATAGAGTTACAGGCAATGAGAGGGTAAAACAGAGACAAAGGTCTTCCATCCACTGGTTCACTCCCCAAATGGCCACAATGGCTGGAGCTGGGCCAATCTGAAACCAGGAGCCAGGAGCTTCTTCTGGGTCTCCCACATGGGTGCAGGGGCCCAAGTGTTTTGGCCATCTTCTACTGCTTTCCCAGATCATAGCAGAGAGCTGGATCATAAGAGGAGCAGCCAGCACTAGAACTGATGCCAGTATGGGATGCCAGCACTCCAGGTGGAGGATTAACCTACTGGGCCACAGTGCTGGCCCCTGATGTGTAATATTTTAACTCAATGCTTTTCTTCAACTTATCATTGATCTAATAGTAACACCTGTAACTACAAATATAGAAACTCAGGATATAATTTTATTCAGGGTCTTCAAAGGATTTTATTACATTGCAATCAGTAGTATGTAGTCATTTTCTTCTTAAAATTTTATTATTATTTGAGAGAATAGAGACAGACAGAGATCTCCCAACCACTGGTTCACTACCCAAATGCCTGTAAGTTAGAGCTAGACCAATTGTCTCAAACATTTTTTATATCGGTCTTGTTGCTGCTGTTTTCATTTTTCTATCATCCAGAATCCAATTTTACATTGCATTGGTCACTTTTAACCTATATTCCAGTTTAGGCCCCTTAACTTATAGATCTCACATTTTGGGTTTGTCTGGCTTTCCCCTGGTGGTTTCTTTTAACTTGTTCCTTTTGCTCTATACTTTTTCAAACTTCTGCCTTTAGATTTAAATATTTTTAGCAAGAACATACCACAAATGATATTGGGAACTTCTTAGTGCTTCATATCAGTAGGACATGTCAGGCTGTCCTACTTTGAGTGATGTTAACTCTTTCCATTGTAAAACAGTATTTATCTATTTGTAATTAAATAAGTAATCTGCTGAGTGATACTGTGGTATCCAGCAAATATCCTGTTTTTCTCAACTTTCACATAATTGGTTTTTAGCTTTCACTGATTTTTACCTGTATCAATTACTACACTGTAAGCAATGTAAATACTTTTAATCTTCCAACTGAGTGGTTGAATTGTCAGTTACATGACAGAGTAGAGCAGGGATGAAGGCAAACAGGAATACATGAAAACTGAGGGAAATCACCAAGGGTTTAGAGATTGTGTGGATAACTACACCATGTGTAAGAATGCTCTCATTTGGGGCCAGCACTGTAGTATAGCAGGAAAAGCTGCCGCCTGCAGGGCCAGCATCCCACATGGGTGCCAGTTCCAGTCCCAGCTGCTCTAGTTCTGATCCAGCTTCTGCTATGGCCTGGGAAAGGAGTAGAAGATGCCCTAAATCATTAGACCCCTACACTCATGTGGGAGACTCGGAAGACACACCTGGCTTCTGGCTTCAGATTAGCCCAGCTCTGGCCATTGCAGCCATCTCAGGAGAGAACCAGTAGATGGAAGACCTCTCTCTCTCTCTCTCTCTCTCTCTCTTTTTCTCTCTCTGCCTCACCCTTTCTGTAACTCTGCCTTCAAATAAATAAATCTTTATTTAAAAAAATAACATTTTACAGGTATAAATCCTTCTTGAGTTAGTTCTAGTAAGTAATTACTCATTTCAACTCTCATTTAATAGTGCCTGTATGTACCAGATTATACTAGAAATATGAAGTAGAGATAACATACAGGTTTTATCCCACATGGAGCTTTCTAACAGAGAGCAAAAGCACTAAAATGCTATAGACATCCTTGGCAAAATAAATACAGATTATTAGATTGTGGGGGGAGAGTAATAGGACAGGAGACAGTAGAGGGTAGAGAAGGATGGCTCTAAGATGTGAATGATCATTTTTACCCTAGAAGGTGAGCTGGTCAGGAACTGACTGATGGAGAAGATACCTGGCCTGAGTTTGGAAGGTTAGAAACTCATCAAATGGACAGGAGAGAAAGGGGTGTTGAGAGCACAAAGATTTGGATATCTGCAGTTGCCTCTCAATTGTCTTCATCCTTAGATCATCATAATCCCTTAGACCTACAGCCGGCTCCTCTTCTAAGTTCTCTTAGTGGTTTCTAAATGCCATTTCCCAATAAAAGGAACTGAATTCCAAAGCTGAGTCAAGGAAAATAGGAGTAGAGCCTGGACCATTTTGTGATTCCAGAAAGTAAGGATATATTCAAAAAATTGAGCGAAAACAAAAAATTGGAAGGACACAGGAGGGGTTCCCAATGGCCAAATTTATGGCAATTTGAGTAATCAAAATCATGGTAATGGAATATAACCCATAGAAGATAACAAATATCCACAAGTCTGTTTGTATATAAATGTATCAATAAGTAAATGGAGGAGAAGGAACAGTTCTTCCTTTTGATAGAATTCCATTAAACAGGTCTAAAAGATATGAAAACCACCATTTGACAATATTAAATCTCTGCATTTCAAATAAATAAATAAATGATTAAAAAATGACAATGTAAATATAATGTGGAATCTTATTTAAAAAAAAAAAACTCCAGTGGTGAGATAACACAATGGTTTGTAGATTAAGTACTATATCAAAATTAATTTCCTGGTTTTTATAATTTAATGTGGCTAAAGATGTTAGCATCTAAGAAGCTGAGTGAAAGGTATGTAGGAATCCTTTGAATTACCTTTACTTTCGCATCAGCTATTACTGAATCATTCCAGATTTCCAGCACTTAACAATGTATATATTTAATACCTGTGAAAGTTAGAGATCTCCTTTTAAAGTAAATGCATTTTGTTTTGGCAACTGCCTTTTAATCAATCCCATTACATTTCTTAGATTAATATTAATATCAACACTTTTTTTTTGCAATAGATGTAATGAGGAGAGTTTGTTTTGGTAAGAAAACTACTAGAATTCAGACTAAGAATCAAACTTTTTAATGAAGACTATTGGGAACTCCTAGTATTTAGCCCCCTAATTAGCCACTAGCTACTGAAGCTAAAATTTTGCTTCTAATTCTTTGAATTTCAGTTTCCTCAGCTAAGATGCCACTAGGAACAAATGATAAGCTAACATGATTGGGAACTACTTTCCTGAGGAGCCCAATTCAACAGACATTGACAGAGGAATACAGAAAACATGAACGAGCTGAAATGTCAAAAGGCTAAAAAGTAAAAGCTGACCTTCTACATGGGTCACATACTCTAAATCCATGTTGTCTCATTCTGTCAATGCCTCTTCTGTACACATTATATAACATCTGGACTTCCAGAAAAAGCTCTAGTCTCACCTACTCTGGGAGGCATAAAAACATATTTCAGGAGTAGACAACCTAGCAGTTAAGATAAGTATGTCCCACATTGGAGTGCTTAGGTTTCATTTCTGGCTCCAGTTCTTGATTCTAACTTCTTGCCAACACAGATCCTAAGAGGCAACGGCGATGGCTCAAATAATTGGTTTCCCACTACCCATGTGGGAGATCTGGATAGTGTTCCTAGATCCTGGCTTTGGCCCTGACCCAGTTCCAGCTACTACAGGAATTTGCGGAGTGAACCAGTGGACAGGAGTTCTGTCTCTGTCCTTCATATAAATAATATTTCAATATGTAATATTTCAAGTCAGACTTTTTAAGTATGGAAATATTAGCTCAAAAAGAAAATTCACAGGAGTGGGCATTTGGCCATGGGGTTAAGATGCAACTTGGGATGCCCATATTTCATATCAGAGTGCTTTGGTTTGAGTTCTGACTCCACTCCTGATTCCGACTTCCTGCTAACACACACCCTGGGAAGCATTAGGTGATGGCTCTGGTAATTGAGTCTCTGCCACTCACATGGGAGACATGGGTTGAAGTCTTGGCTCCTGGCTTCAGCCTGGCCCAGTCACAGCTATTGTGAACATTTAGGGAGTGAACCAGTGGATGGGAACTTCTCTCAAATAAATTAAATAAATAAAAATTTTAAAGACTCTTTCATGACCAAAATTTTTTTTTAAATTACTTATTCAAAAGGCAGAGTGACAGGGAAAGGGAGAGACAGAGAAAGAGAGAGATCTATCCATTGGTTCATTCCCTAAATGGCTGCAAAGGCAAGGGCTGGGCCAGGCCAAAGCTAAGAGCCTGTAAATCCACCTCAGACTCCCACATTGGTGGCAGGAACTCAAGTACTTGGGCCATCTTCCATTGCTTTTCAAGGCACATTAGCAGAGAGTTGGATTGGAAATGTAGCAGCTGGGACTCAAATCAGCACTCCAATACAGGATGCCAGCATTGCAAGCAGCCAGCCCCTATAACTGAATTTTTAAATAAAATAAAATTTTAAAAACCAATCCTTTCTACTTAAAAAAAAAGGACCATAAAACATTTAAGGTACCATATACAGAAGTACAAGCAACATAATCTGAACTTCTTTACTTTAATGTTTGAAGCCAAATGCAGCACATATTTAATAACTCATTTGCTTTACAACTAAGTAAAATTTAAAGAAAAAAATATATATTATCTTCCCAAATATAATACAAAACTATACATGGTTTTAATCACTCAGAAGTATAACTGCTTTTAATTAAAACCAAATGAAGAAGAACATTAGATGAAATAGATTCATTTAAATTAAATCAAATTACAGTATAGTATATGCATACATGCAGGAAAAAGATATATAATCTATAATATAAGACGAAATATGCATACCCTATTTACATATTAAGGGCTTAGGAACTTAAACTCTTGGGTCACATAATACCTTGACAAAACCTTTTTATCCATAGAATAATCCCTTGAAAGTAGCCTTTAGATGAAATAACAAAAACCTCAGTCCAATAATGTAGCCCTCTTTATTCACCTTCTTTTCTTCATGATTCTTTCTCCAAGGATAAGCTATAGACTTTTTGTATTTGTATAGACTATTTGTATTTGTAAACTTCAGATGTTCAAGTCCCATCACTCCAGTCCTTGGAGACTACTCATTTCTTCAGCTCTTCAGGCATACCAAGGCTTGGGGAAGTGTTAGCTTGAAGCTCTTCAGTATCCTCCTTTATAACAAACTCAGCAGGCCCTGGGTGTTCCTGTACCATGGATTTCACGGCATGAGCTGCATAATTAAGACTGGTATTTTCACTCCAGTGCCAGTAACCTGAGAAGGGGTTATAGAGCATTCCTGCTACAGTTTGAAGTGATAGACCATCTGAAAAAAAATATCAGAAAGAGCAGAGGTGATGAACATTTAATTTCCAAGTGCCAAGAGACTCCTGCAAGTCTCCATATTAAAAAGGTTTCCTAACATAATGGACACAAATACTGTGTAACCAAAGATCATTGTTTACTTCAGGGTAGAACACATATTCTAAAGCAGACTGCCTAAGTTCAAATCCCAGGTCTAGTCCCCATTAGATGGTGTCTCTGGGCCAGTCATTTACCCTGTTTGAATCTCAGCTTTCTCACACATACACACCATATAGCCTAGAATTGCTGGAATTAGATATGCATGTAAAGTAGCAGAGTGCATGGAATTCATTAAGTACTCAATAAACACTAGCTGTTATCAGAAAATACCTTCCAATAAGATTGCTCCCATAAAGCATCTTTAAAATATTTCAGAGCCGGCGCCGTGGCTCAATAGGCTAATCCTCCACCTTGCGGCGCCGGCACACCGGGTTCTAGTCCCGGTTGGGGCGCCGGATTCTGTCCCGGTTGCCCCTCTTCCAGGCCAGCTCTCTGCTATGGCCAGGGAGTGCAGTGGAGGATGGCCCAGGTGCTTGGGCCCTGCACCCCATGGGAGACCAGGAAAAGCACCTGGCTCCTGGCTCCTGCCATCGGATCAGCGCGGTGCGCCGGCTGCAGCGGCGGCCATTGGAGGGTGAACCAACGGCAAAGGAAGACCTTTCTCTCTCTGTCTCTCTCTCTCACTGTCCACTCTGCCTGTCAAAATATAGACAAAACTTATTCAAATATTTTTTCCACTGTATATGCAACAGTTATAGAATCTATAGAACTCACTATGTTGCTATGTAATATTCCAAATAAAGTCATATTTATTAATATACTGTTACATGAACAAAAAGCCTAAGAAAAACATGAGTCTAAGTACTCAGCAGGAATACCAAATGCCAAATACATATCACTACTAACAGGAATTCAACCCAACAATTAAGTGCTCACTATGTGTAATGTAAAGCCAAGCCAGGTACAATGTAGGAAGTATGAAAAGGAGATATAGCCTTTCTTTAAAGGAACTTGTAGGCCAGGAAAAACATCAAAATAACCATAACATACAATGTGCTATAAATAATACAAAACACATTAAAAATGTCATAGAAATTCAAAATATATATGAGTGTAGAGGAATCAAGAAAAATACGTGCAATAAGCTGACACGAGCAGGACTCAATGGGACAAGCCAACAGTGAGTAAGTAATAGACACTTGTACCTGCCCTGAATTAGGTGCACACAGTTAGAGAGATATGGTATATACTCCTTATTCTTAACTTCAAGAAGCTTATGACATAGATGAGGAGATGAGACAAACACCCAAAAAACAGTGGCTTATTTAGTTAAGTGCTAGGTTATGAGATTAATAATCACAGGTGCATTAAAAGTTCTGTTAGACCTTGAAAACTGGAAAAATTCTTAACACTTACTTGATTCCAGAATGCTCTCTAGCTTTTCAGGTGATACAAACTTCTCCCATGTATGAGTACCTTTTGGTACAATACCTGCAATTTGCTCTGAGAAAACAATTCCTAAGGCATAGGACAGTTGTGTTTTGTTGATTGTAGTAATGAATAAAGAACCACCAGGCTAAAAGTAAAGATGTAGAGAAGTAAAACTTAGAAGGTAGGAGCATCAGATAGGTAAAGACTTGTCCCCCCCCCCACTTCCTTTCAAACAATTTTTAAAAATATTTATTTATTTATTTGAAAGGCAGAGTTACACAGAGGGAGAGACACAGAGAAAGAGAGATCTTCCATCTGCTTGTTCGTTCCCCAAATGGCTACAATGGCTGGGACTGTGCCAAGCTGAAGCCAGGAGCCTGGAGCTCCATCTAGGTCTCCCAACTGCATGCAAGGGTTCATTGACTCAGGCCATCTTCTGCTGCTTTCCTAGGCATACCAGCAGGGAGCTGGATCAGAACTGGACTCAAATCAGCACCCATATGGGATGTTGGCACTACGGCGGTGGCTTAACCTTCCACACCACAACACGGGTCCCCCTTCCAAATAACTGAAGTGCAGTTAAGATGCATATATATGAATAAAATATAATTTATCAAGGGCCGGTACTGTGGCACAGTGGGTTAACGCCCTGGCCTGAAGTGCCGGCATCCCATATGGGTGCTGCTTCTAGTCCCGGCTTCTCTACTTTTGATCTGGCTCTCCGCTATGGCCTGGGAAAGCAAAAGACGGCCCAAGTCCTTGGGCCCCTGCACCCGCGTGGGAGCCCTGGAAGAAGCTCCTGGCTCCTGCCTTCAGATCAGCACAGCTCCAGTCATTGTGGCCAATTGGGGAGCGAACCATTGGATGGAAGACCTCTCTCTTTCTCTCTTTGCCTCTCCTCTCTCTGTGTAACTCTGACTTTCAAATAAATAAATAAATCTTTGAAAAATAATAAAATATAATTTATCAAATTAGTATGTTTTTTCTCTTGGGAAATTCTCTGTTAAATGTAGTCTGTAACACATGCTACTAGAAGCCGGTGCTGTGGCACAGTAGGCTAAGCCTCTGCCTGAGGCACTGGCATGACAACTAACAAGATATGGTTACTGAATGAAATGCAGGAGCCAGGACTGGGTCCTGTATCCAAAAAACCAGCATTAGCAGAAGAATTGATGGAATTTTATAAGCTCTGAGGTGCAGTTAAGAAGTATAGTGCAAACATTCATGTCTTAGTTTTGAAAACTATTCATGGGTTATGTCCAGGGGCAGGACTGTACTGGAAAACATGAGGCTCCTCGGGCTCAGAACTAAAATAGGCAACCTTTTTTGGAGCAAGCAAGTGCAAGTCGGCACCTGAAAGTGTTTCCTTCAATCTTGTGCCCTTGGGGCCTCCCTCAACTCATCTCTTAGTCCCATGGTTCTGATATGAGATATTAATGCAAGGGGAACCCAGGAGAAGGAACAGTGGCACTATCTCGGCAAGTCTTCTACACATCCAAAATTACCTAAAAATAAAGTGGTTTTTTTTAAAGCTCTATTTTGATATGGGCTAATAATTTCATTCTTTTAGCTTTGACCTTAAGAGTATTTCCTCCTAGCCACATAAACAACACTGTGAACGTACTAAGAATAATACTTTAAGGATGTTGATTGAAAGAAAATTTGGAACTACATTCAGAGGACTAAATCTGAAGCAAATTATATAAACATAATAAGCGAGGGGAAGACCCAGACTTGGAATTAAAAAAAAAAAATTCTAGCTGTTCGCCCCAGTGGAACCTCTCACAAATCCCAAATCCGCATAGGTCAAAGGTGATGGCAACCTCTCTTTCCTTCCTCACCTGGTTGTAGGTAAGAACATATGTGGTAAGTGCTCTCTCACAAGCTGAAAAGTGGTATACATACATCACATACAGAGTTATATAACTAATGCTATTTTGGTGAATTTATGCTAATGATTGTTTTCAATTTTTTAAAAGTATTCATCTAAATCAATTTCTTGGTAATTGTCATTCAATATCTATTAAGCATTTAACCCAAAACATAGAACTGGAAAAATACTGCTGAAAATGTTTGTATTCTAGTGTTCAGGACCATCGTTTTTCAAGATCCCTGGACATCAAGATATTAATAGGGTACTAGGATTGAGGACAAACCGAGAAACAGAAATTGTCTCCAACAGATATGCTGTCCTCTAATCCTAGCTTTTTAGTTCCTTCTCTCCTATACCTTGCCTGCTGGACTGCTAAGATATTGTGCAACATCTTATTGCTATGGATACAAACACACACTTAAAAAGCTAACAAGTAAACTCTGTCAGTCTTACCTTTAACACTTGACAGCAGCACTGTATAAACGTTTCTAAATCAATCACATGCTCTACAACTTCAGAGGCTATAACTGCATCAAATGTTTCTATAGTCTCTTCTGCAATCTCTTCCAGGGAACACGCTCTGTACTCTAGCCTCTTATCCAGGACTGGATCAAATGATTTATGGTGATGGGCTGTTTTAATGTTCTCATCCACAGGATCAATTCCAATAACTGAAGCCCCAAGTCGTCCTAGAGGCTAATGGAATAAAAGACTGTTACCCTCAGGAAGAAAGCAGAACATGTGTTAGCAATAAAAAGCTTATCAAAAATGAAGCAATGTTAACCATGACGTGATAATTACTGGAGCTCATTTATGGGTTCATAGAAGTTCATATACCGTTTTCTCTAGTTAGAATACATGTGAAATTTTTTCATAATAAAAAGGTTAAAAGTAAGAGTCAAAAAAACAACAAAAAACACTTAGAACTACTTAAAAATAGTGAATTTTTTTCTAGATTCTCTAGATACACTTATACACATGTAGCACAATATTACTTTATTTAAAGTGCAATAAATATAACAGGCCATTATAAAAACAGCAATTATTTCTATTTCTGAAATATTCTCATTTTCTAAAGAATAATTTTTCTTAGTACTCTTGAGAATAAATAGAAATAATTCTTCATAGCTAATTCCTCTTTCTGCTTTTGTATTCAGTCACTTCTCATGACATGTCCAAGTTTTTTTTCTTTTAAGATTTATTTATTTACTTGAAAGGTAGAATTACACAGAGAGAGAAGGAGAGGCAGAGAGAGAGAGAGAGGTCTTCCATCCACTGGTTCTCTCCCCGGATGGCCACAACGGCCGGAGCTATGCTGATCCGAAGCCAGGAGCCAGGAGCCCCCTCCGGGTCTCCCACACAGGTGAAGGGGCCCAAGGACCTGGGCCATCTTCCACTGCTTTCCCAGATCATTAGCAGAGAGCTGGATCGGAAGTGGAGCAACCAGGTGCCCATATGGGATGCTGGCACTGCAGGCAGCGGCTCTACCTGCTACAACACAGCGCTGGCGCCTGACATGTCCAGGTTTTTAAACACAAGCTTAATTTTAATCAAAACTTGCATACTATTTTATAAAATGAAGTTAGTCAACAAGCTGAAAGTATAAATCACATTTTTTATTTATTTATTTTTTTTATTTTTTGACAGGCAGAGTGGATAGTGAGAGAGAGACAGAGACAGAGAGAAAGGTCTTCCTTTTGCCGTTGGTTCACCCTCTAATGGCCGCCGCGGCCAGCGCGCTGCGGCCGGCGCACCGCGCTGATCCGATGGCAGGAGCCAGGAGCCAGGTGCTTTTCCTGGTCTCCCATGGGGTGCAGGGCCCAAGCACCTGGGCCATCCTCCACTGCACTCCCTGACCACAGCAGAGGGCTGGCCTGGAAGAGGGGCAACCGGGACAGAATCCGGCGCCCCGACCAGGACTAGAACCTGGTGTGCCAGCGCCGCTAGGTGGAGGATTAGCCTAGTGAGCCGCGGCGCCGGCTTAAATCACATTATTTTAATTTTAGACTAACCTCTGTAATAATATGAGGCTACTTCAAAAAGTTTATGGGGGCCAGCACTGTGGTGTAGCCCCACATATTCTTGATTGCAAAAATGTTATAACTGATATGAAAAGAAACCGGGCCACTGGCAGGTAGAAAACATGCTTTCTGTGCATGTGCAAACTTAGCAGTCCATGCGAGGCCTCTGTCAATGTGATTGTGCACGTGACTGGGTTACAGACTTTGACAGTACCACATCCCACTAAACCTTAACTACCATTTGTATCCCATACTCTGCCTTAAAATACTTTTTGAAGATCTAATTATGATGCAGCATTGAAACAAAACATTTCTGTATCAATAGAACTCAAGATAGAGCTGTAAGACATACATTTCCTATAAGCTAAAGCAAAACGCCTTATAGAAAAAATGACTACTCTTCCAAGTATTCCAAAGCACTGAAGAAAAGAAGAATAGGCAAAACACCTAGTTAGGCTTACATTACACATAAAACAACAGAAATTTAGTAATTTCTTCAAATAGATCACTTAATTTTCAAAGCTATTTGAATGATGCATGCCTCATTTTTTTATTTAAAAAATTCTTCAGGAATGGCGCTGTGGCGTAGTAGGTTAAGCCTCAGCCTGTGGTGTCAGCATCCCATATGTGCGAGACGTGGAAGAAGCTCCTGGCTCCTGGTTACAGATCAGCCCAGCTCCACCATTGCGGCCATATGGACAGTGAATCTGTGGATGGAAGAAGACTTCTCTCTTGCCCTGTAACTCTCTTGTCTGTAACTCTGCCTCTCAAATTAATAAGTAAATCTTTTTAAAAAAAATTCTTCAGTATAATTTTCTGAAATTTTTAGATGGTTTTAAAAAGAAAAAGCTTTCCCGGCGCCGCGGATCACTAGGCTAATCCTCCGCCTAGCGGCGCCGGCACACCGGGTTCTAGTCCCGGTCGGGGCGCCGGATTCTGTCCCGGTTGCCCCTCTTCCAGGCCAGCCCTCTGCTGTGGCCAGGGAGTGCAGTGGAGGATGGCCCAGGTGCTTGGGCCCTGCACCCCATGGGAGACCAGGAAAAGCACCTGGCTCCTGGCTCCTGCCATCGGATCAGCGCGGTGCGCCGGCCGCAGCGGGCCGGCCGCGGCGCCAATTGGAGGGTGAACCAACGCAAAAGGAAGACCTTTCTCTCTGTCTCTCTCTCTCACTGTCCACTCTGCCTGTCAAAAAAAAAAATAAAAATAAAAAAAATAAAAAATAAAAAAAAAGAAAAAGCTTTCATAATAATAAAATACTAAAATAAATATTATTTTTTAAATGAATATTATTTTTTAGAACAAATGAGGCACAACCTCAAATTTTTTTAAAGATTTATTTGTTTGAATCACAGAGTTACAGAGAGAGAGGAGAGACAGAGAGAGACAGAAATTTTCCATCTGAGGGTTCACTTACCAAATGGCCATAATGGCTGGGGCTGGGCAAGACCAAAGCCAGGAACCTGGAGCTTCTTCCAAGTCTCCCAGGTGGGTGCAGGTGCCCAAGGATTTGGGCCATCCACTGCTCTCCCAGGTACATTAGCAGGGATCTGGATTGTTAAGTAGAGCAGCCAATCTTGAACCAGCATACATGTAGGATGCTGGCATCGCAGGCAGAGACCACAACACCAGCCCCATCAATATTTTTATCCTGGTTAAAAACAGCAGAAAAGCTGTAATTCACTTACTTCAGCTAATAATCCACCACCACAGCCAACATCAAGAATCTTCATCCCAGACAAAGGTTTTCCAGGCTGGTGATCGTCAACTGCTTTCAAAAGATTATCTCTTTAAAATATTCAAAATATACCAAAACAAATGATTAATTTTATCAATAAAAAATTGTAAAAGCATACAAGTTTCAAGAAAATATTGGGGCCGGCATTGTGGTGTAGCAGGTAAAGCCGCCGCCTGCAGTGCCGGTATCACATATGGGTGCCAGTTCTAGTCCCGGCTGCTCTACTTCCAATCCAGCTCTCTGCTATGGCCTGGGAAAGCAGTAGAAGATGGCCCAAGTCCTTGGGCCCCTGCACCCGTGTGGGAGACCCGGAAGAATCTTCTGTCTTCGGATCAGTGCAGGTCTGCCAGTGCAGGTCTGCCGTTGCAGCCAACTGGGAGTGAACCAGTGATGGAAGACCTCTCTCTCTCTCTCTCTCTCTCTCTCTCTGCCTCTCCTTCTCTTTCTAACTTTCAAATAAATAAATAAATCTAGAAAAAAAAAGAAAATATTAACTCCATTTTAGTTGGATTATTGTTATTTTTACATAAACAGATATTTTATTTTCAGCATTAATTTACTTATATTTAATTTAGAAAACATTTTCATAATCTAAAGCAGAAGCTTTAAAGCTCTGAAATAATCTGGCAGGAATCAGGACTTAATTACTGCTTCAGCAGAAGATAGCCCAACTGCTTGGGCCCCTGCCACCCACCTGAGAGACAGGGTGGAGCTCATGGATTCAGCCTGGTCCAGCCCTAGCCATTGCAGCCATTTGGGAGTGACCCAGCAATGGAAGATTTCTCTCTGTGTCTCTCCCTCTCTCTAACTCTGCCTTTCAAATAATTACAATAAATCCTTTTTTTAAAAAAAATCACTGATTTAGTAATAACTGAGAGAGAAAATTTTTCAAAATAATCTAGTTTAGATTAACCTAATTGTATTTGCTTGAGATTACAACACCAGAGGCATTTATTGGTTATAACATCAACATTTGTTAGCCCAATCTCATGGCAGCAACAAATAGGTTGTTTTACAGGGCTTACAAGTAGCCGATGGGAGACTTATATTTTCATAATTTGCCTATATTTCCCTCTAAATGAAATCTCTTTTAATCTTCCAAGTTAGTGACATGTAAACAGACATCCATACCACATAAACTTAACTCTAAGAAAATAATAATTGATTTTTAAAGATTGATTTTATTTATTTGAAAGAGAGAGGTAGAGCCAGAGAGAGAGAGCAGTCTTCCACTCTGCTGATTCACTCCCCAAATGACCACAAGGGCCAGAGCTGAGCTGATCCGAAGCCAGGAGCCAGGAGCTTCTTCCAGGTCTCCCATGCAGGTACAGGGGCCCAAGGACTTGGACCATCTTCTACTGCTTTCCCAGGCCATAGTAGAGGGCTGGATCAGAAGAGGAGTATCCAGGACTAGAACCAGCACCCATATGGGATGCCAGTGCTGCAGGCTGGGGCTTTAACCTACTGTGCCACAGCAAGCCCAGATAATAGTTCTTTAGCATAACAAACATACATAAAAACACATAAAGACAAAAGTAATTATGCCTGTATAGGAGGGGACCTCAAAAAGTTCATGGAAAATGGAATTAAAAATCACTTATTTTGATGCAAAAATTTGGAATCCAGGCATATTTTTTCATCACACGCAGTTTCCATGAAATTTTTTAAGATCTCTTGTATGCACAAATTTCAAATATTTTTACAACAAATGAACTTACCTTTTAGTTCCATTTTTAAGTATCCTTGTATCAAAAGATATTATAAACTAAACTCATAAATTGGACTATATATGAATTTTAATTGTATTTATATTAAAATAAATTTAATTCAAAAAACATGATAATGGTTAAGTAGATCACTTTGGAATGTTACACAGAAAAGATTTATTTCTAATAAAATTCAATACATTTTCAAACAGCAGCCAAAATGACCCCCTTAGATCAATTTTGATACCATCACTTTCCTTTCATGGCCTCCAATTTTGCTAAAAATAAAAGCTAAACTTCTAACAATAGCTTGTACTTCATTGGGTGATCTGTATTATGCAATGTCTACATAAAAAAGTCACAGTATTTGAATAAAATAGACTTAGTATTCAGTAGAATCACCTGGAAGGTTCACTAAAACACAGACCTATGATCCCTCAGAGCAGTAGGTCCAGGATGGGATCTGAAAATTTGCAGTTTTAATGAGTTCCCAGGTGCTACTGATGTTGCTGGTCCAGGGCCTATACTTTGAGAATCAGGGATCTAGCCTTAGAGAACAATATTCCTACTTTTCTGTGCCTCGTGTTTCCACTATACACAGATTCAGAGGTAATAAAAAGATATTAATATTTTCCTTTTCCTACACTGATTCTGAAGGAACCAGCCAAAACCAATGAGGAAGTTCCTTGAAAGCCAAGTCTGACACTGACAGTCTGTGTCTGTTACAGTGCCTTGCCATATCAGCTGCTCCAAAATGTTTGCTGAATAAATAAATGGACAGCAGATCAAAGGAGCAACTTCGTCTATACAAGCCCTGATAAACCTTGCCTATCTTTATTTCTCACAGTGCACTACAAGTTCATGAAGCACATGGATTATGCTTCATTCATCTTAGCAGCTTTCACAGAGCTTAGCCCAACCTCTGTACAAGGAAAGTCCTCAAAAAATATTTTAAATCACACAGTCTCAGCAATATTTCCTGTATCAGAACTTGGGTGTACACTGACGTCATACATAAGAGTGTTAGTTGTTGAATTAACCACAGGTGTCACTGTGCGCTAACTTCCCATGCAGGACCTCTGTCCTCAAAGAGTTGTATTATGAGAGTTAACTGTAAAACTTGTTCTCAGATTTATTTCATTTTAGTGTACTAAGTGGAGGATATTCTTATGTCTCATAAGTTTTAGATATGCCTAAGGACCCAACACCATTGCTTGTTTCTTTAGGTGCTTGTTAAATTAATGATAAAACTTATTCTCAAAGGGAAAAAAAAGTATATTATCATGAAAATTAAGTAGGAGGAAGCATGGGAGTAAGGTAGGGAGGGAAGATGGGGTGAAGTGTCATTATGTTCTTAAAACTATATGTATGAGATACATGAAATTTGTTCCATTTATAGAAATTTAAAAATTTAATAAAATTTTTTTTAAATTAATGGCTTGGAAGACACTGAAAAGAATCTCCCTAATTTTCAGAGCAAACTTAAGATGTAGCATTTTGAAGCTAGGTATAAACTAAGAGAAAAATGAACGCAAAACCAGATTAATTCTTGAACAGATACATTTTAAAAGACTTAAGAGTTTCTGGTGTGTTACCTAATAAATGGTACTCTCAGGTCGTTCATAGAGTGAAGAGGTGCATACACTCCTTGTTCATCCCACCACTTGTGAGCCAGGGCCTGGAAGGTTTTTACCTCACTGCTATCGATAGTAGTTTGTGAAGTACTGTACAGTCTCATCCAAGGGGGCCTAACAGGTGAAAACAAAAAGCCAGGAAAATACTGACATTAAAAAACAAAATGCAACATGGCACATTTTATTTAGAATGATATTTATAATTTATTAGATTCTAATGTTCAGTTTTTATGCTTCAAAACCAAGTTTTCTTATAAGACATGTACTTTTTTTTTTAAATAGAGAAACCAAATAAGTTGCTTTAGAAGTAAGTTACTGCAGAGACAGCATTGTAATACAGTGGGTTAATTTTCCTACCATTTGCAATGCCATCATCCTATGTCAGAGTGCTAGTTCTAGTCTTACCACCCAGAATGCACAGTTATCTGCCTTATAATTATGTTGCGCCCAAATCATTTATGATTTAAAAACTGCATTATCTGTGAGTTATAATAAGGATATTATAAAGAAGTGAAAATACTGCTCCAATAATAGAGTCTTTTTTTTTTTTTTTTTTTGACAGGCAGAGTGGACAGTGAGAGAGAGACAGAGAGAAAAAGGTCTTCCTTTGCCGTTGGTTCACCCTCCAATAGCAGCCGCAGCCAGTGCGCTGCGGCCTGCGCACCGCACTGATCCAAAGCCAGGAGCCAGGTACTTATCCTGGTCTCCCATGGGGTACAGGGCCCAAGGACTTGGGCCATCCTCCACTGCACTCCCTGGCCACAGCAGAGAGCTGGCCTGGAAGAGGGGCAACCGGGACAGAATCCAGCACCCCAACTGGGACTAGAACCCGGTGTGCCGGCACCGCAAGGTGGAGGATTAGCCTAGTGAGCCGCGGTGCCGGCCAATAGAGTCTTATATTAAAAACAAAAGCTAACTCTGAATCTGTATGAGGATCCTTCAAAAAGTTTGTAGAAAATATCATTAAAAGATAAACTTCTTTTGGTGCCAAAGATTTTGAAATCCATTCATTGTTTTTTCTTTTTTTCTTTTTTTTTTTTTTTTTTTTTTGACAGGCAGAGTGGACAGTGAGAGAGAGACAGAGAGAAAGGTCTTCCTTTGCCGTTGGTTCACCCTCCAATGGCCGCCGCGGCCAGCGCACCGCGCTGATCCGATGGCAGGAGCCAGGAGCCAGGTGCTTTTCCTGGTCTCCCATGGGGTGCAGGGCCCAAGCACCTGGGCCATCCTCCACTGCACTCCCTGGCCACAGCAGAGAGCTGGCCTGGAAGAGGGGCAACCGGGACAGAATCCGGCGCCCCGACCGGGACTAGAACCCGGTGTGCCGGCGCCGCAAGGCGGAGGATTAGCCTAGTGAGCCGCGGCGCCGGCCCTCATTGTTTTTTCTTAATACACATTTACCACGAACTTTTTGAAACCCCTCATATTAATTTATCAACTTTTCTGAGGGCTTGAAATTTTCCAAATTTTAAAGTTGTTAGAAAATGAATTAAAGATATTTAAATTAATAAAAATGACTTTCATCAACCCACATGAGCTATTACACTCCAGGTTTATTAAATATAATCAATACTAAAGAACTATAAGGCTTAATTATGTAAATATCTGCCTCAGTGATAAACTCACCTTTTTATTCTATTTAAACAGGAAAAGGTCACCCCATAGGATCTGGACCATATGGTTCTGTATTTATTGAATATCCATGGTTTAATTTGCAGGGTCCAATCGGGCTGATTCACTGAATAAATTGAAAAAAAAATTAAATATCTAGAGAAAAGTTCTGCGGAGTAAGAACCTCTGATATGCATGCAATTTAAGAAATTTTATTTATATGGTAATCTTACGTTATACCACAACTGATAAACCGGGATTTTTTTTCTTAATTTTAGATTTTGTCTAAAATATAAAGGTCTTGCATTCTACCATTAACTCTAACAAGATATTTCTGAAATTATAATTAGCAAAAATAAGTAATGCATACATAAAAGATTACATTAGGCTTTATATCCACATTATGATGCACAAAATTACAAAATATGATATTCAAATACAAACTGTTGCCTTTTAAAACTAGGTTGAAATTAATTCTGAGATTATTTGCCAAAACTAGTCCGACTTCTCTTAGTAACATGAAATGGATTTTTACATATGCTCAATACCCTTTACAGAAGAAAACAATGTGTATATGAGAGGATATTTCAAAAATTTTACAGAAAATGAAATTAAGATTACTTTGGTGCAAATTTTTTTTTAACTTTTATTTAATGAATATAAATTTCCAAAGTACAGCTTATGGATTACAATGGCTTCCCCCCCCCATAACTTCCCTCCCCACCCGCAACCCCCCCCCCCACTCCCTCTCCCCTTCCATTCACATCAAGATTCATTTTCAAGGCGCAAAATATTTTTAAATTGTGATAATTTTTTCATAATATGCATTCTCCATGAACTTTTAATCCCCCCCCAACACACACACACTTTGGGGCTGGCACTATAGTGTAGCAGGTAAAGCCACTGGCTGCAGTGCCGGCATCCCGTATGGGTGCCGGTTCAAGTGCTGGCTGCTCCACTTCCAATCCAGCTCTCTGTAATAGCCTGGGAAAGCAGGAAGATAGCCCAAGTCCTTGGGCCCCTACACCTGTGTGGGAGACCTGGAAGAAGCTCCTGGCTCCAGATCAGCACAGCTCTGGTGGTTGCGGCCATCTGGAGAGTGAACCAATGGATAGAAGCCCCCCTCCCCAACCCCGCCTCTTTGTAACGCTGCCTTTCAAATAAAGAAATAAATCTTTAAAAAAAAAATCCTTCATATGTCTAACATCCTAACATAAACATTCACCCTGTTTCTGTTCAAACTTACAGAGATCTGCTTTATGAACCACTCTATACCACAGAAAATTCAGTTGTTCGATAAACATTTAGACAAAGCAAATGTTATAGCAAAGAGAAGTACCAAGAACAAAGAGAAACACTATAGCAAAGCAGAAGGGACAATGCACCAAGAAGATATAGCAATCCTAAGTGTATATGTACCAAACACTGTAGTTTCAAAACACATGAAGCAAAAACTGACAAAACTGAAAGGAGAAATTAATACACAAGTATAGCTGTGTACATCAACACCCTTCTCTTAGTACTTGAAGAGAACCACAAGTCAGAAAATCAGCAAAGATGCAGAATAACTGAACACCACCACTAATCAAGAAAATTAAATTGAAATTTATAAGACACTACACCCACAGAACAACAGATTATACCCTCTTTGAAGCAGTCACAGTCATATTCATGGACCACATCCTTTATCATTAAACAAATATTCAGGGGTGGGTGTTTGGCCTAGGGATTAAGATGCCCACATCCCAGCTTTGCTTTTTTTTTTTTTTTTTTTTGACAGGCAGAGTGGACAGTGAGAGACAGAGAGAAAGGTCTTCCTTTACCATTGGTTCACCCTCCAATGGCCACTGCGGCTGGCACACTGCAGCCGGTGCACCGCGCTGATCCAAAGGCAGGAGCCAGGTGCTTCTCCTGGTCTCCCATGGGGTGCAGGGCCCAAGCACTTGGGCCATCCTCCACTGCACTCCCGGGCCACAGCAGAGAGCTGGCCTGGAAGAGGGGCAACCAGGACAGAATCCAGTGCCCCGACCAGGACTAGAACCCGGTGTGCCGGCACCGCAAGGTGGAGGATTAGCCTACTGAGCCGCAGCGCTGGCTGATACAACATACTTTTAAAATCTATTCGAGTGGCAGAAATGGAGAGAAACAAACAACAGAGTTCCTGTCTACTGGTTTATATCGATATGCTCCCAGTGGCCAAGAACTGAGGTCACATGGAAACTGGGAACTCAATCTGCAGCTTCCATGGTGGTAGCAGGACCCAACTACTTGAGCCATCATCTGCTGCTTCCCGGAGTTTGCTCTGGCAGGAAGCTATTATTGGGAACCAGAGCTGGAAACTGAATCCAAACACTCCAACATGGGACACTTAACTGGCATCTTAACCACTAGACCAAACACCTATCCCCAAAGCCTGTATTTTTTTTTTTATTTTTCAGTTTTTATTTATTTTCAAGTAAAGTCAGACGGAGACAGAGAGAGAGAGTGCCTCCATTTACTGGTTTACTTTCCAAATGCCCACAATGGCCAGGGCTCAGCCAGGCTGAAGCCAGGAGCCAGGAACTCCATCCAGGTCTCCAGTATGGGTGGCAGGGGCCCAGGCACTTGAGGAATCATCCATTGCCTCCAAGGATGCATTAGCAGGAAGCTGGATTGGAAGCAGAGCAGCCATGAATTGAGCCAACATTCTGATATGGGATGTGGGCATTGCAAACAGAGGTTTAACCAGCTGTGTCACATTGCTCACTGATCTCGCCACCACCAATATATTTTTAACAGTAATGGAAACAGAAATAAATAATGAAGATAATATACAAACAGTAAAACACTTGGAAATTAGAAGACATTTTTTTTTTTTTAAGATTGACTTATTTATTTGAAAGGCAGAGTCACAGAGAGAGAGAGAATCTTCCCTCCACTCGTTCACTCCACAGATGGCTGCAATGACCAGGGCTGGGACAGGTCGAAGCCAGGAGCCAGAAGCTTCTTCCGGGTCTCCCATGTGGATGGCAGGGGCCCAGGGACTTGGGTCATCATCCACTGCTTTCCCAGGTACATAAGCAGGGAGCTGGATTGGAAATGGAGCAGCCAGGACTCCATCCAGTACCCATGTGGAATGCTGGTGCTGCAGGAGGCAACTTAATCTGCTGCACCACAGCACCAGCCCCTAAATAACACACTTCTAAATAATCCATGAATGAAAGACAAAGTCTCAGGAAAGTAAAAAAAAAAAAAAAAATGAACTAAAAGAAAATAAACATACAATATATAATATCTAGAGCATAGTTTACAGCAGCAGTCCTTAGAGGGAAATTTATAACACTACCTATTTATTTAGAAAAGAAGAAAAGCCTCAAATGAACAATCTAAATTTCTTCCTCAAAAAACTATTAATCTTTGTAATTACTCATCTTTTGGTTTGATGTTTTCTGTTTTTGCTTTATTTTCAGCACTATTGATTTCTACTTTTATCTTTATAATTTCCTTCTTGCTTTGAGTTATTTTCTTTCCTTTTTTTAGTTTTTTATAAGTGAAAGAAAAGATATAAATTAGTTTTTTATAAGTGAAAGAAAAGATATAAATTACCAATATCAGGAATTAAAGAGGAGATATCACTATAAACCTGACATATATTCAAAGAATAATAAGGGAATACTATAATCAACTCTACACACAGAATTCTACAATTAAGACAAAATGGACTCATCCCATGAAAATAAACAACTAAGACTCATGCAAGATGAAATAGATAGCTTAAACAGTCCCACAATTACTAAATAATCAAATTCAGAGTTAAAATTTTTCTTGCTTCACTGAGGAATTCTACTAAACACTTAAGGAAGAAATAACAACCAACTCTATCTAGTCTCTTCCTTCCATAAAACATAAGAGTGAGGAATACATAACCCATTTTATGAAACCAGCATTACTCTAACACAAAACCAAGATGAGGAAGTACTGCAGGGGAGTTCCAAGATGGCGGAGTAGAGTGGGAGCTTACTGCTCTAGCCCAGGAGAAGACAGTTCAAAAAATGTGGAGATAGTGTAGTCTCAGGGAAGAGTTAGGGAAAAAACAGCAGAGGAAACTACGCGAATTAGAGGGACACGGTGGACCTACATGGAGGGTTAGGGCATCCATGGCTCAGAACTCCAACAGCCTCAAGCCTACGCACCAGCACTGGAAAGTAAGGTGAGACCAGACAGCAGTAGCCCAAGCCACTGGCTTAAAAGTGACAGGAAGAGCCTATAAAGAACCAGGCTTGGAGCCCTGTTGGGAAAAGTGTACCAGCCAAACTAGAGAATAAAAGCGGGGCGGGGAGGGGAGTACAGACACATTTCTCTCTCTCTGATCACTTTACAAAGGGGTACTGCGACAAGCCGATAGAGCAGGCTCCATTTTGGACATATGTAACAGCTGCACCAGCTCCTGTCTGCCCACAGCAACCAGCAGAGGGGAGACTCCTGACTCTGGTGGGGAGAAATAACAGGGGCTAGGAGCTCGTGACTGTGTGAAGCTTCTGAACTGGGAATGTGAAAACAAACAAACAAACAAACAAAAAAACCAAAACAAAACAAAAAAAAAAAAACTGAGGGTGTGGCTGGGACTTTGAGCAGTCTCAGTTGGAGACTCCACAAGCTTAGGGGTTCCTGTTACGTGGTGAGAGACACTGCTGGGGAATCTGAACTTACACTGAGGACTGCATAGATCCTTTGTGTGGTTCCTGGGACAGAACAGACAAATATTTTACCCACTGGGGCTAAAGCTCAGGCTCCACTCTCCATTGAGAGCTCAGCTGAGCAGAATATACCTCCATTCTAATTTAAAAAAAGAGAGAGAGATCTCCCGTGCCAAACCTGGGTATGTCATCTTAGGCACACCCTTAACCCTGGAGATCTGAACAGAGCTCTCTGGCCAGACCTACTACAAGCCTCTAGAGATTCACTGAAAGCAGATATTCCACTTATCTACAGAGTCATAGTACAAAGATAAAAACTGCCACAGCAAAAAAAAAAAAACAATACAAAAGAAGTGGGTATCAGGGAGATGTACTGTTCAGCACACGTTCCCTCGGACTTACCCCTAAGGGTAAAACTAAAAACTTGCCATGGGACTCCAAGTCCCATTAA